ACTCCAAATGTCCTGAAATGGATATGGTCCAAAGAGACCTAGGGTCTAAAACTGTTATTTCGATGAGGCTCGCTTTGGCCGTATCAAACCCTCTCTAGCCATGTGGCTGAAGTTATAAAAAAAGTCAACGTGAAAAGATCATCCTCGAAACATTTTAAATATCTCTCTTAATAATTCCTACATACCATGAAAGAATGCCAATACATGTCCTGGACTTCCCTTAAAAAGGTGAATTTTTATTTCACGCTCTCTTTGACAAGAATCCTGGACTTTTCGAAAAATTGGCTGAGGGTATAAAAAAAGTCAAAGTAAAAAGGTCATCCTCGAAACATTTTAAATATTTGCGGATCTCTTTTAATAAAACCTCCATACTATGAGAGAATGACAATACATGTCCTGGACTTCCTTAAAAAGAGTGACTTTTTATAGTCACGCTCTCTTTGACAAAAGAGTCCTGAACTTCTTCGTAAATTTGTCAATATAATATCACGTTCTCTTCCAGAAATTAATGAAATGTGTCCACATTCCTTTGGATTTTCCTTGAAAAACAGTTGGTAGAAGACCTTGTTAAAAAAATTGCCAATACTTGTCCTCTTCCCTGGTCTTCCCTGAAAAATCTTTAAAATGATGGGTACTTTCAAGAACTCCTTCAAATAATATTTAAAATATTTTTCTGAAAAATGTGGTCCAGGTCCACAATGAAAATGGGATTATGACCTTTTTAAAAAAATATTGTGTGTCTATGTTCTCGCAGGAAAAAAAAATGCTCCATTGTTCCTCTTGAGGACACTTTGATATTGGTCCAAGTTTACTCGGACAAATGATCAAAGCTGATTAATAAAATATCCATTAAATTATTTATTAATTTATTCAGGACCATTTTTGAAAATCCATCGTATTTAAAGCAGGTTCTACTTGATAAAATTGAAAATTGTTTAGGTACCTACGAAAAGAAAAGTTCTCCAAGATTTTCATTATTTACAGATCTCAATTGTTTGGTAAAATTTTATCCAAAATTTCCTCTGTTTAGTACTCACACCTTCAATGAAATATCTTCAATTTAATGATTGCCTAGATTTTCTCCTGTCTTCACCAAAGAAGTAAGACCAACACCATCACACTTATGATGACAAAAACAACAACAACTAATGATGATGATGAACTGCATCATTGGGAGACTATGGTTTGCATGAATGAATCAATTTTAATGGCATTTTTGTCTGAATGATTGTTTCCAATTAATTGACTTTAGTCCTCTGATCATCTCAACAATGAAACGAATTTCTGATGGCCGACAAACAGACAGACAGAGAGAGAAAAACCACTTCAAGAAGATTATAAGCTATGCAACACATGTACATACACACACATACATGCTGAAAACACATCGAGCAATAATGTTTCATTTTTTCTTCATTTCTCCCTCTTGCAATATTTTCCACCCAGGATTGTAACCTTTTTTTTTGCTGGCCGAGATTCAAATGAATTCATTAACTGTATTGATTCAATGATTCACACTAGCACAAGCACACACACACACATACACACACATCCATCCTTTGTACCCTTTCATCGAGCCTTCTGAAATATGTATTTACATTTTTTATTCATTTGTTCATTCATTCAGTCGGTCGGTTGGTCGGTCATTCGTTCGTCCATTCACATTGATTGTACATAAATATTGTGGTCAGTTTTATCCAATATGATGCTTGTCTGTAGATTTTCCGGCAATGTGTTGCTGTGTTTTCCCATTCGGAGCCGAGCAGCCATTGATAAAGTTATAACAGGGTTCGAATTTATCAATTTAAAAAAGTTGAAGAAACAATTGGACAATGAGGAGAAATGTATGAGGGAAGGAGAGAGAGAGAGGTCTGAAAGACCTTGAATAAAAAATATTTAAAACAAAATTTTCCCTAAGAGGTCTGACAAAGGATCTTCAGACATTTTGGCAAAGTTGGGAGGCCCGTGATTTTTTCAAAAATCCTAAAATCTCTAAGTAAAATATTTACTAGAAAACCAGGGTAAGAGGGCCGAAGATCCTTATAAATATTTTATACTTGAGACCTGAAGATTTTAATAAAAAATCCTACATTTCTACATTAAAGGTCCTTAAAAAGCATTTCGAACAAATCGACGTTGAGGTCCTCGGTTCTAATTATCTTTTAAAAAATCAAAATGGGGTGCCTGAAAATACTAGACAAACACTTCCTTTAAATGCATATTCAGAGGCCTAAAGATCCCTGAAAAAATGTTTCCAATTGAGAGACCTGAAGAACTTAAAATTCTACAAATCTATGCTGAGGCCCCAAGATTCCTAAAAAAAGTCCGAATTTCGAAAAAAAAAAATAAAAAATCAAAATTGAGAGGTCTGAAGATCCACGCAAAAATATTTCCTAAATCCCAAGCGGAGAGGCATGAAGAAAAAAAAAAAATAGAGGATATTTAAAAAGGAATTCGTGAATCAAATATTTCCTTCAAATTCATGTAAAAAACCAGGTTGGCATGCCTGAAGATACTCAAATATTTCTTACGTATCAAAATTTAGAGACCAAACGATCCTTGAAAAAAATACATTTGAGAGGTGTTTAAACCCTTGAAAAAATATTTTCTACAAATCCATATTGAGGCCCGAAGATTCCACAAACTGAGTCCTGAATATCCTTAAAAAATTGACGTGGAGAGAGGACTGAAGTTCCGTAAAAAAATATTTACTACAAATCCATATGCAGATGCTTGAAAATGTTTTATAGTCCCAAAGATCCCTGAACATTTTCTTACTAAAGGGACATCGGTCCTTGAAAAAAAATGCTTGAGAGTCCCGAAGATTCCTAGAAAAATATTTCCTAAAAATCGAAGTTAATGAAAAAAAAAATAAATTCTGCGACTATAAGTAGATTCGCTTGAAGGTCCTTGAAATCATATTTCCTAAAAATCCATAAAGAGAGGTCTACAGATCCTTGAAAAAGATCCACGTTAAGTTATCTGCAGGTCCTGGGATAAATATTTCCAGAAAATTTACGTAAAGAGGCCTGAAGATCCTTAAAAAATCCAAGATGAGGACTGAAGGACAGAATTTCTTTTCAATTTTAAGCCTGAAGGTCCTTGAAATAATCCACATTGTGGCCTATAGGTCATTGGAAGAAAATTCGTGCAAATTTACGTTGAGAAGCATGAAGATCTTTGAAAAAATCCACGTGGAGGCTTGGAGATCCTGGGAATAAAAATTGTGCAAACCTACGTTGGGAGTCCAAAAGGTCCTTGAAAATGCCTCATAGTAAAGCCTAAAGGTCGTTGGAGAAAATTTTGAGAAATCTTATGCTGCGAAAGTCCTTGGAAAATATATACGTTGAAATCTGAGGGGTCCTTATAAATAATTTCTTGCAAATTTATGTTGGAAGGCCTGAAGGTACATGAAAAAAAATTGGTTGAGGTCTGAAAGTCCTTGGAAAAAAATTGTGCAAATGTACATCGACAGACTTGAAAGCCTCTGACAAAACCAACGGGGAGGCCTGAGGGTCCTGGGAAAGTATTTTCCGCAAATTTGCGTTAAGAGACCTAAAGAAACTCGAAGATCCTTGAGAGGGTTGAGGGTCCTTAAAGATACTTGAAAAAGTACACGTTGAGGTCTAAAGTGCAAAACAACGTTAAAAGGCTTGAATGTCCTTGAAAATTCCTGAAAAAATCCTCGGTGAGGCCTTAAGGTCCTTGGAATTGAGAAGGTCCGAGAGGCTTGAAAGCCTCTGAAGAAACCCACGTGGAGGCCTAATGGTCCAGGAAAAGTATTTCCTTTAAAATTGCGTTAAGAGACCTAAAGAAACTTGAAGCTCCTTGAAAAATCCAGGTTGAGTTCTGAAGGTTCTTCGCAAAAAATTGCTGCAAATTTACTTTGAGACGCCTGAAAACCCCTGAGGAAATCCACAGTGAGCTCTGAAGGTCCTAAGAAAGACATGCCTGTGAATTTATGTTGAGATACCCAAAGACCCTAGAAGATCCTTGGAAAAATCCACCATGAGAACTGAGGTACGAAAATTTACGTTGAGATGCTTGAAGGTCGTCGAAAAAAATTTCCAGATTTACGTTGAAAGGTCTGAAGTCATTGAAAAATTCCACGTCGAGGGCTCAAGCTCATTGGGAAGAAATTGAGTGCTTCATTTAAAAAAAAATCTCTTAAGTGACCTAAAGGTCCTTGGAAACTATTTTCTGAAAATTTACGTTAGCAGGCCTAAAGATCCCTAAAAAAATACAAGTTGTGGCCTTGCAAAAAATCGTGCAAATTTACGTTGAGAGACCTCAATGTTCTTGAAAAAAACGTGCAAATTTGCTTTGGGAGGCCTGAAAATACTTAAAAAAAATCAGGATGAGACCTAAGGTCCTTGAAAAAAAAATTGCTGCAAATTTACATTGTGAAATCTGATGGTCCACGATGAAACCTGAAGGTCCTTGGAAAAAAATTTCATGCCAAATCACCTTGTGAGACCTTAAGGCCCTTGAAGTCAGCCTGAAGCACCTTGATAACTGAAGGTCCCTAGAAAAACCAGTACAAAATTACGTTGCGAGGCCTGAAGGTCCCTTAAGATCCTTGAAAAATCGACATTTAGGCCTGAAGATCCTTGGAAAAATGTTGCTGCTAATTCTCCTTGAGAGGCTATAAGTTCTTTAAAAAATTGAAGACCTATAGAGAGAACTGAAGACCTATAAATAAAGGGACCTGAGGGTCCCTTTAAAAATGGGGCTGTGAGGTCCGAAAATTCTTTAAAAAATCGAAATAAAAGCATTTATTATGAGGGATAATTTTACTAAGAAGGACATGCATCCTTTACAGAGAAGATTTGATGCAACTTTTTCAATTTTAACCGACCGGCTAAGCCGACCTCGTACATTCAAGAAAAAATTATATTTTCACGGAACCTATGCCCTTTTACTAAAATTATCCTTAATACTTTTAAAACGAATATCCCATTCTCCATTTCAATTGATTGCTCATTTTTTCTCCCTTCCAGAGTTGCTCCTGGCCTGCCAGATACTCGAACCTGTCTGCTACATCAAAAGCTGCAAATGCTCAATGTGTGCATTGAGAAACGCTTGCAGCGTGAAAAGGGCATTGCTGCTAAAACGGAAGGTGGCATGGCCATGCATACGGTTGAATTGGTTACTGACGATGATGATGATGACGACGATGAGGATGATGACACCAATGAGGAGTTTTATGATCTGACCGAAGAAGATAGCGATGACCCGACTGAGGTGGCAAAACCAAAAGAGGACAATTCGAAAAATCCCTTGAAGGCAGAAGGACGTTTGCGCCGTTTCAAAAATCTAAAACTAATTGGCAGCGATGAGTATTTGTATGTACCAGTTACCCAGGATTTGGCACCCAAGACCGAGGATCAATTGCAGGATGCATCGGATGTCATGCTGAAAATGGGTTCAGATTCGGGTAAGGCATTCGTCTTTGAAAAAAATTTTAACAAATAAATAATTTAATTATTTGTCCTTGCCAGAATTCATAACCGATTTGATGTGTTCCACTGTGGTCTCGGATGCCGAAGCCTTTAAGGCGGCCAATCCCAAGGCCGGTTTTGAGGACTTTATACGTTGGTTCAGTCCCAACGATTGGGAAGAATATTGGAATGAGGAAACGCAGGAGACGGGTCATAAACTCAGTGCCCGCATGCAGGCTGCCGGCAATACATGGCAAAAGGTGTGGGAACAGGCCAAGCCGGTGCCAGCAGCACGTCAGGTATGTATGGATGTAGAATGATTTATAAAGGCATTAAATTAAACAATTATTTTTTTTTTAATTTTTTTTCAGAAACGCCTATTCGATGACACCCTGGAGGGCTACAAAATCCTCAACTACTTGGAATCTCGTAATTTGGGAGAAATTTTTGGCCTGACCATTGTGCCACTTTTGCATAGCTCCATACTCAAATTGAAGGTAATTATTCATTTCATGAATATATTTCCAAAAAATAAATTCTAAAATTATTTTTACCCTTCCAGGACATTTTCGCTAACACCCAAGTCCTGGAACTGTTCACCGAAACCTTGGATGAAATCCTAGCCGACCTAAGTCGTTTTTCACGTGACATAGAACTTGTTGAGGCCTTACCCAGCCCCAGCAGCTCGGAGGCGCCCAAAATCAATGAAAACAAATACACTCTTCAGCTACCCAATCCCCAGCCACTGCTGAAGAAAATCGAACAATTGGAAAGGGACTACTATCATTACAAATGTTTTGAATGTTTGCCGGGTGTGAATGGTCTACCAAAGGCGAAATTACATTCGAAATTCTGTGAAATATTAAAAAATAATGGCCATTGTAATATTGTGAATGCCGCGGAGGATCATGATGGTGGCGTTGTGGAGCAAGTCTTGCAATCTCTATTCATAGGCGATATGCGCGAGAAGCTAATGAGTAAAGACTATGTAATACGTTTGGGTGAGGGTTTAGTTGCCGATGAGAGCCCCAAGGATGTGGAGGCGAAGGACCAGCAGCAGCCGCAAGCTGGTTTCTCCAACTATTTAATGCCCCAGTTTTTGCGCGCCATTGTAACGGGCGAAAAACTACGCCTGTGTGGGGCATTCACCGAAAACACCACGTTTTTGGATTAAGATTCGAAATTTCTCTAAAGTTTTTATATTCTGGTGTAGGGTATTTCGCGTTTTAAAGTATTTCATAATGTTTATCCGAATTCTCTATAAGTCTTTGTAAAAATTTGTAATGTTTTCTATTTTTAATCCAATAAATATTTCTATAATCTTTCGGTGTATGGTCACAATGAAACATGGACTTCAGGAAGTCAATTCTTCATTGTGAATTTACATCTACTTTCTGTAGAAGTTGAGTTTTCATTCAGTTTTATGAAAGTCCACCAGTCTAGGTCTACTTGGAACAATTCTCATTGAAAGAACTGAATAACAATTCTCATTGAGAGAACTGAAAGGCACCTGAAGGTCCTTTAAAAAATGGGGTTGTGAGGTCCGAAAATTTTTTGAAAAATCGATGTTGAGAGGCTTTAATAACCCACAAAATAAATGCACAAATATTTTGCTAAGAAGGACATACATCCTTTACAGAGAAGATTTGATGCAACTTTTTCAATTTTAACCGACCGGCAAAGACGACCTCGTACATTCAAGAAAAAATATATTTTCACGGAACCTATGCCATTTTACTAAAATTATCCTTAATACTTTTAAAACGAATATCCCATTCTCCATTTCAATTGATTGCTTCTTTTTCCTCCCTTCCAGAGTTGCTCCTGGCCTGCAAGATACTCGAACCTGTCTGCTACATCAAAAGCTGCAAATGCGGTCTACTCTAAGTGTACGCTGAGAGGCCGGAAGACCCTTGGAAGAAATGTTCTGTAAACTTAAGTTAAGAAGCCTGAAAGTCCTTGAAAAAAGAAAAAAAAAACGTTGAGGTCCTGACTTCGAATCTTGCATTTTGGACGTTCTGAATCAGAACCGTAAAATTTTTGGGACCCTCCGACCCAAAAAAGAGGATTTATAAAGGCATCGAACATTTATATCCAATTTTATGTGAAATCATAAATTCGATATTCATCTCAGGATTCTAATTGAGAACTGACTTGTTCCGCAAGTTATGACAGATAGAAGTATTAACAATTGTGACCTTTTGTGGGTGAGGTACCACAAGGTGTTCGCAGATAAATATGATCTTCATAACTGATCTTGTGCTTGCATAAATATTATGGGGGGGGGGTGACATTTGAAGAGAGTTGGATGCTTATTTCGCTTTCTTTGAGCGTTTTGTTTTTCAAATCTTGAACCCTACGTGAGAGAGGTACCAGAAGAAATGGTCCGATCTCTACCATCTTTATAATAAATCTTGAGTTGACGGAAATATTGACAAAATTGGAGATTTTTAAGGCATTTCTAGTAACATCCCCGATATTTAATAAAATTTCAAAATTTTTTCAAAAATAATTTAAGGACTTTCATGCAAAAATCGTGGATTTATTTTCAGGACTTTCTGGAATAGTTTCAATATTTTTTAAAAATAATTTTTTAGGACCACATTAAAAAAAAATTGTGAATCGTTGCAAGGACCCTCTGCATGTTTCAAATTTTTTTTTATAATTTCAATAACATAATTGGAGATTTTAAGGCATTTCTAGTAACATCCCTGATATCTAATAAAATTTCAAAAAATTTTCAAAAATAATTTAAGGACTTTCATCATCATTCCATGATTTTCTGCTAAAAGTTCCAAGTTTTTTTTTAGAGGGCTTTTCACAGAAATTTTATGCTTTTTATACCCTACACCACAAGGTGGTCAGGGTATTATGTCTTTGTGCATTTGTTTGTAACAGGCAGAAGGAAACGAGATAGAGCCATAGTTCCTTTTGATGATCTGCATAGAATCACATTCTGAGTCGATTTATGTATGTCCGTCCGTCTGTCCATGTATTTTTGTAAACAAAGTACGGTTCGCATTTATTGCCCTATCCAGATGAAATTTTGCACATATCATTTGTTTGGCCCTATTGAAATTGGAGATAATCGGTCAAAATTTAGATATAGCTCCCATATATATCTTCGTCCAATTTTCCTTTTATTGTGCACCAAACGTGTAATATTAGCCCGAATGGTATGGAATTTTGCACATACAACCAAATTAGGCCTGAAAATAAGTATGCCAAATTTGATCGGAATCGGTTCAGATATAGCTCTACCTCCCATATATGTTGTTCATCCGATTTGTTATTTTTGTCCTCAGCAGCCGTAATATGCACTCTGTAACAACAATATTTGTGAAAATATATCAAATACAGCTCCGAAATACATTAGCTAAATTTTATCGAGATCGGTTCAGATTTGGATATAGCTCCGATATATAACTTCGTCCGATTTACCCTTAATTGTGCACCAAACGTGTAATATTAGCCCAAATGGGATAGAATTTGGCACTTACGACCGAATTGAGCCTAGAAGCTAGTATGTCAAATTCGATGAAGATCGGTTCAGATATAGTTATAGCTCCCATATATACTGTTCATCCGATTTGTTATATTTGTTACCCACAGCCGTAATATGCACTCCGTAACAACGATATTCAGGGAAATTTATCAAATACAGCTCAGAAATACCTTTGCCAAATTTTATCGATATCGGTTCCGATTTGGATATAGCTCCCATATATATATATATTCGTCCGATTTCAAAAAAATTGTGCACCAAATCGGCAATACAATTCCGAATTTAAAAGATACAAATGCTTCGACATATTTAGTCCTTTGAACTTTGAATTATAATTATAATCATAGCGTGTATGATTGAATTCTTCCATAAAAACTTTTAATTGTTATGCGGATCTCTACTAAATTAGCAAAGTGGTGTAGGGTATCATAAAGTCGACCCCGCCCGACTTTAAGACTTTCTTTACGGGTTTTTAATTTAGATTAATTAAGACTTTCCCATTGAGGATTTCTAAATAATTAAAATTTGAATATTGTGAATATTATTACCACAACATCGTGGCAAAAATTCCAGGATTTTCGAGAATATTTTTAGGATTTCTTTAGAATATTATTTCAGGCACTCTCGTGCAAAGATCGGATATTGTTAAGAAAATTTTTTCAAGAAACCACTATCTCAAAATTGGTGGAGTTTTTAAGGCTATTTCGTCAGATTTCCCAAATAAAATAAAAATGAAATATTTTTAAGAAAAATATCAAAATTTTATGCTAAAAATTCCGAAACATGCATTTTTAAGGATTTCTTGGTAAAAGTTCAAGGTTTTCTTATAAAAGGTCTTCTGCAGTTCCTCCTTAGACACACTGAGTTTTTGAAAGATTTTTTTCTATCGAAGGATCTCTAAGGGTCTTCCAAACATTAAATGAAGGCCATATATGCTGCGAAGACCTTCCAAAAATAAAAGCGCATACTACAGTAGTTCAAATTCCAGAGGGTTTTAAAACATTTCAAATCAGATCCAAAAGTTTTTTTAAATAATCTCCAACAAATTTCATAGACTATAAAATATGTTAGTTCCAAATTGCTTATCTTTAAATATTCAATTTCTCTTTAACTCAACCACTTCATTCCGACATAAAATCCCTTTTTACGATTTACACTGCCTTCATTGCACCAATAAAACAAAAATTAATCGGCATCGACAATTACACAAAAAGGACCTCATAATAATAAAACAACAACAACAACAGGCAAAGGATGCTGGTAAAAAACAACAACAACCACAATAAAAGAATTTACCTCAAAAAAAACTAACCAATTCTCCGCCGAAGAAGAAAAAGACGAAAACTGAGAAGAAAAACGTTTTAATATTTTTGCAAAACCGAAATGCAGGCCACAAAACAATGCCTGTTTGGCTACCGCCAGTCAACCAACCAACCAGCCAGCCGGTATGGCATGGCTTGGTACTGCCCGGGTAATGTTCTGCCATGGCATGGAAAATATTTTCTAGAATTCTTTTTGCGACACAAAACAAGGCAACATCAAAAGAATGCCAACGTGAATGAGTGTTCATTTCGTTCCCCAGTTGTGTTTCTTTGTTTGAGTTAAACATCTGCAAGAGGAGGTGAGGCCAAGTGGAGAGGGAGGAGGTGGAGAGCAGGCAGGAGGGTGTTAGGTACTGCCATTACTCAACTCAGTTGGCGCAATTGCTTTGTTAGTGACTTTGGGCCACAGGTACAAAGGCAGTCAAAGGGGTTTTTCGTTTTTAGCAGCTTTGGTCCCCACTGGGTTGCTTGGTCAGCTAGCCAACGTCAAGACAAGCCAGGCCAGCATGGTTGGATTTGGGTCTTTTGGCTAGAACTCGATTCGGGCAATTTGAAATATTTAACTAAAATTACTTCAAGTAGGACTTACTTGTTAAGTTTGTCTATGGGCCTCTTTCTTTTTGTTGTTGGTTTGGAATCTTTTTAAAGAATTGTTGTTGTTGCTGTTGTTGTTGTCGAGTTGCACATAAATTGTTCCCATTCTGTTGGAGAAACCTAGCCTGCGGTTGTGGCAAAATTATTGTGAGAATATGCCAACATGTCAGTCAGTCAGCCAGTTCGGTTTGGTTTGGGTTTTTTAGAAACATTTTCTTTTTTTTCGGATACTCTACTACTCCCTTGCCCGGAGAGACAATTGGGCTGCAGACCAGAGTTCCAGTCTCCACAACTACCACCAACTAGGCAGGCAGCCTAGCAGATACACAAATAATGAATTGTGGCATTTTTGTGTGTGTCTTTGACGAAAGGACGGACGGACGGACCGTTGCGCAAATTATTCCCGACAAGAATGTTGTCGGCAAAAGTACATAAACACGAAATTTTGTAACTATTTTGTCTTCTATTTTTAGCATGGCTTCAGGAATAATTAAAATTTTCTGCGCTGAGCGTTTTGTCTTCCCAAGAAGTCGGAGGCAATAATTTATGTTGTCTGTCGTTGTTGCTTGGAAGTCTGGTGGAAGGATGTTGGGAAAGGAGTTACTTCACTAGGGTAAGGCAAGATGTTGGCAACTCGAAATGGATGACATATTTGAATTTAACATCCTTCAGTGGTTGAGAAATTATCACAAAAACCCAACTGGGGATAGAAAGAGGCCTAAAGATGGATTTTTTGGATTGGATTTTTTAAAGAATATTTTTCAAGGACCCATAGACCAATAAACGTGGATTTTTTAAAGAATATTTTTCAAGGATCCATAGACCAATAAACGTGGATTTTTTAAAGAATATTTTTCAAGGACCCATACACCAATAAAAGTGGATTTTTTAAAGAATCTTTCTCAAGGACCTACTGACCAATAAACGTGGATTTTTTAGAGAATATTTTTCAAGGACCCATACACCAATAAACGTGGATTTTTTAAAGAATATTTTTCAAGGACCCATAGACCAATAAACGTGGATTTTTTAAAGAATATTTTTCAAGGACCCATAGACCAATAAACGTGGATTTTTTAAAGAATATTTTTCAAGGACCCATAGACCAATAAACGTGGATTTTTTAAAGAATATTTTTCAAGGACCCATAGACCAATAAACGTGGATTTTTTAAAGAATGTTTTTCAAGGACCCATAGACCAATAAACGTGGATTTTTTAAAGAATGTTTTTCAAGGACCCATAGACCAATAAACGTGGATTTTTTAAAGAATGTTTTTCAAGGACCCATAGACCAATAAACGTGGATTTTTTAAAGAATGTTTTTCAAGGACCCATAGACCAATAAACGTGGATTTTTTAAAGAATGTTTTTCAAGGACCCATAGACCAATAAACGTGGATTTTTAAAGAATGTTTTTCAAGGACCCATAGACCAATAAACGTGGATTTTTTAAAGAATGTTTTTCAAGGACCCATAGACCAATAAACGTGGATTTTTTAAAGAATGTTTTTCAAGGACCCATAGACCAATAAACGTGGATTTTTTAAAGAATGTTTTTCAAGGACCCATAGACCAATAAACGTGGATTTTTTAAAGAATGTTTTTCAAGGACCCATAGACCAATAAACGTGGATTTTTTAAAGAATGTTTTTCAAGGACCCATAGACCAATAAACGTGGATTTTTTAAAGAATGTTTTTCAAGGACCCATAGACCAATAAACGTGGATTTTTTAAAGAATGTTTTTCAAGGACCCATAGACCAATAAACGTGGATTTTTTAAAGAATGTTTTTCAAGGACCCATAGACCAATAAACGTGGATTTTTTAAAGAATGTTTTTCAAGGACCCATAGACCAATAAACGTGGATTTTTTAAAGAATGTTTTTCAAGGACCCATAGACCAATAAACGTGGATTTTTTAAAGAATGTTTTTCAAGGACCCATAGACCAATAAACGTGGATTTTTTAAAGAATGTTTTTCAAGGACCCATAGACCAATAAACGTGGATTTTTTAAAGAATGTTTTTCAAGGACCCATAGACCAATAAACGTGGATTTTTTAAAGAATGTTTTTCAAGGACCCATAGACCAATAAACGTGGATTTTTTAAAGAATGTTTTTCAAGGACCCATAGACCAATAAACGTGGATTTTTTAAAGAATGTTTTTCAAGGACCCATAGACCAATAAACGTGGATTTTTTAAAGAATGTTTTTCAAGGACCCATAGACCAATAAACGTGGATTTTTTAAAGAATGTTTTTCAAGGACCCATAGACCAATAAACGTGGATTTTTTAAAGAATGTTTTTCAAGGACCCATAGACCAATAAACGTGGATTTTTTAAAGAATGTTTTTCAAGGACCCATAGACCAATAAACGTGGATTTTTTAAAGAATGTTTTTCAAGGACCCATAGACCAATAAACGTGGATTTTTTAAAGAATGTTTTTCAAGGACCCATAGACCAATAAACGTGGATTTTTTAAAGAATGTTTTTCAAGGACCCATAGACCAATAAACGTGGATTTTTTAAAGAATGTTTTTCAAGGACCTACTGACCAATAAGCGTGGATTTCTTAAAGAATCTTTCTTAAGGACCTACTGACCAATAAGCGTGGATTTCTTAAAGAATCTTTCTTAAGGACCTACTGACCAATAATCATGGATTTTTAAAGAATATTTTTCAAGGACCTACTGACCAATAATCATGGATAATCATGGACCTGCACATATAACTTTCTGTCCATTACGAATATCAAATACCAATTTTCAAAAATTTCCGGTGAATAATGTCGCTAAAATCATCAAAATACCGAATATAGGAAGGTACCGTTATATGGCGGCTATATGAAGACCTGGACCTGCACAGACAATTTTCTGTCATAGGCTGTAGTATCCATTGCGAACTTCAAATACCAATTTTGAAAAATTTCCGGTAAATAATGTCACTAAAATCATCACAAAACCGAATATCGGGAGGTACCGTTATATGGAGGCTATAGGAAAACGTGGACCTGCACACACAATTTCCTGTCATAGGCTGTGGTTTCCATTACGAACTTCAAATACCAAATTTGAAACAATTGCGGAGAATTATGTCGCTTAAATCACCAAAAAACCGAATATCCGGAGGTACGGTATATGAGGGCTATACGAAGACATGGATCGACACAGACAATTTTCTGTCATAAGCTGTAGTATCCATTACGAACTTCAAATACCAAATTTGAAACATTTCAGGATAATAAGGCCGAAAAATGGCTCGTGAGCTGAACATATCGCTATTCCGTTGGGCAAATATTGAAAAATGGGATTGGGATAAAGCCATTTAAATTTCAAAAAGTGCAAGAACTTACACCGCAATAGAAAGAAAATATACTCAAAAAAGGTAAAGAGTGGCTTCGCTTGGCCGAAAGTGGTGAACTTCCGTATTTGGTTTTCTCCGATGAGAAAACATTCGTTGTCCTGCAGTTTGTAAACAAACAAAATGATCGTGTTTACTTGCCAAAGAGGTCAGCTAAAAATGTGCACCTTCGGTTGGCCACCAGAACTCAAGCGCCGGCCATGGTGATGGTGTGGGCTGCCATAACAGCCGATGGTCGCTCTCCGCTCGTATTAATCGACCGTGGCATCAGAATTAATGTCGAATATTATCTGGGTGTATTAAAGCCTTGGGCATTCAAACATTTTGGCCACAGACCTTGGACATTCCAACAGGATTCGGCACCATCACACTCAGCACGCGCCATCCAAGAATGGTTACAAAATGAGGTTACTCGCTTCATTTCCATTCATTTCCGCACAATGGCCACCAAAATCTCCGGATACCAATCCGTTGACCTATTGTGTCTGGAGTATTTTGTAAAGCAAAGTTGGCACTAAAAAAATACCAGTCACGTGTCAATCATCACAAGTAAGCGCTTCGCCGGGAATGGGCCAAAATAAAGCAGAGCAACACTCGGCAGCGTGTGACGGTTTTATCGGCCGTTTGAAGGTCATAATTCGTGCCAAAGATGACCAATTCGAAAAAAACTGAACTTATTCTAAAATTTTATGCTATTTCCGACATTTTTGGTTTCATTCAATAAAATTAAAAAAAAAATATATATATAAATTATGCGGTTTGACCTTGTTGCAGTTTTTTATCTAACCCTGTGGAAATTTCGAATTCAGGTTCACGTCTTCGTATTGCCCCCGATATTCGGTATTTGTATGATTTTGCGACATAATTTAGCGGAATTGTAACAAATTTCGTAGTTAAAGTTCGTAATGGGTACTATGGCCTATGACAAAAAAAAAAAATCATATGCAGGTCTATGTCTATGTATAGTCCCCATATAACGGCTTTCATTTATGTGTAAGTTCTCGGATTTTTTTTTAAATTGTCAAGTTCCTTCCAAATGGTGGAGAGTATTAAAAGTTAAGTCCGGCCTAACTTACTGCTTTTTTATTTATTATTAAAAACTAACTTGAAAGCAGTTAAAGCTGTAAAGGCTAAATGATGGACATTTTTAAGGCAATTTTAATATATTCGAATAGTGTAAATTTCAATCGAATGAAATTGTTTTAAACCCTCTATTTTATCAGTTTCCCAAAATTTATAAATTTTATACATCTCCCTTTTGGTAAATTTCCTTTCTTTACCCTTTTTATTTATTTTAAATAAGCGCCATCTAGATATCAATGATTGTAGTGGAAGTAAAAGATTTTGAACATACTTTTAGGCATTTAAAAAAAAAATACTCGATTATTAAAACATTAAAAAGGAGGAAATTGTTTTTAAACCCCCACTTTTCAACAATCCCCCAAAAATTTTTAAATTTTGGGAAAATTCTCTTTTTTTCATTCTCTTATTTTTCCGACTTAAAATAAGCCACTGCATTATCGTACATTCCATGCCATGGTTTTTTGATGGCATTCTTCTTTTTGTTTTTCTTTTAGACGGGTTTATTATTTCGCGGCCTATTATTTTCGTCCTTTTGTTCTCCAATGGTTAATGGAGTCAATTGAAAAAGAGTTCCACCAGTTGTGATTCTTTTTTTCAGATTTTCTTTAATGCTTTGTTTTCATCATTTCTTATTTTTTCCGTTTCGTTTCAGTGTTTTTTTTTCAAAGTATGCGGGCATTATTCTCTCACACTCACACAGGGTTTGTAAATCTGACTTCTGGGTCATAACTTTCCGGGTTTGTCATAGAGGGGAGCTGCTGCCTCCGTTGTGGTGATTGTTTGCACGTTTGTTTTGGCTGTTTTTTTTTTTTCGCTTCCCAGCCTGTGTGTGTGTGTGGATGCAATGTTTTGGCGAAGCCGAGTCCATAAAATAGAGGCACTTTCATGTCATTGACATGTAAGTGAGTGAGTCAGTGAGGGAAAATGTGAAAAAAAAAACAGAATCAAAGGGTTTTTCTTTGGTTTGGTTTTTCTTTTCCTTCACAAAAGAGCCACCAAAAGAAGTCTAGCATTGTTCGGCCATTGTTAACAATGTTTTTACAATGGAAAATTATGGCGTGTATGTCGGAGGTATATTAACCTATGGCATAGTGGATTTGTAGTTTTTTTCTCTCCTCGCCGTTCATATGAAGGGAATAATTCATAATGCAGATAAGTAAGTAATCTTTTATGGAAAATTCGTTTATGAAAGGCTGATAGGGGCAGACAAACGGTTAAAAATTAAAAGCCTAAAGGAAAAAGAAGACAGCGGGTATCTTAAACAAAAGTAGATTTTAAAACCAGGCTTATCAAGAAGTTGGTAAAATTACATCAAGTTGATCCTAGGTATGCTATAAGTTCCAAATAAAAATATTAATTTCTTACTTACCAACATAAAAACGGGATTTGTTGTTAAAACGATTTTAAAAATCTGAAAAAAATTACAAAAAAAAAAAAAAAACAAATTATATATCTGAACTTTAAAATCTCTATATAAATTACTGAGTAGAATAATGAGTGACTGATCCCTTCAACGACCTGGCAAAACAGCTAAAGCTAAAATCTTAAAATTTTGCATATGGCCCAATAATGTTGCTGTGTGTTGGGGTGAGGTAAGTTTAGGTTTTCCGAAATTCTAACCATAAGTGCACCAAAAGGTACTAAAGAAATAAAAATTTGGCGAACGGATAGTACTAGAATTTTAAAATTTGTGGACCTCTGATGAGGTGCAGTAATTGATTGACTGAATGACTGATTGTCGTAACGATTCATCAACGCCCAGATGAAACGGCTGAAGCAATAGGTCTTCTGGTCATATATAACCAGAAGAAGGTCTTCTGGTTATAGAAGACCGTCAGAAGGTATTCTGGTCATAGCAAAGCAGAAGATCAACAGATCACAGGTGACCACCAGAGGGTATTCTGGTCATAGACGAACAGCAGAAGGTCTTGTGGTCATAGAAGACCATCAACGCCCAGATAAAACAGCTGAAGCAGATGGTCTTCTGGTCATAGACGACCAGCAAGTCTTCTGGTCATAGAAGACCATCAGAAGGTATTCTGGTCATAGACGACCAGCAGAAGGTCTTCTGGTCATAGAAAACCCGAAGAAGGTCTTCTGATCATAGACGACCAGCAAAAGGTCTTCTGACCATAGAAGACCATCAACGACCAGATGAAACGGCTGAAGTAGAATGCCTTCTGGTCATAGACGACCAGCAAGTCTTCTGGTCATAGACGACCAGCAGAAGGTCTTGTGGTCATAGACGACCAGCAGAAAGTCTTCTGGTCATAGATGACCAGCAGAAGGTCTTCTGGTCAGCAAAAGGTCTTCTGGCCATAGAAGACCATCAACGCCCAGATGAAACGGCTGAAGTAGAAGGCCTTCTGGTCATAGATGACCAGCAAGTCTTCTGGTCATAGACGACCAGCAGAAGGTCTTCTGGTCATAGAAGACCATCAGAAGGTCTTCTTGTCATAGACGACCAGCAGAAGGTCTTCTGGCCATAGAAGACCATCAACGCCCAGATGAAACGGCTGAAGCAGAAGGTCTTTTGGTCATAGATGACCAGCAGAAGGTCTTCTGGTCATAGACGGCCAGCATAAGGTCTTCTAGTCATAAAGAAACAGCAGAAGGTCTTTTAGTCAATAGATAGTCTTCCGATAATAGACGACCAGCAGAAGGTCCTCTGGTCATAGACGACCAGCAAAAGGTCTTCTGGTCATAGAAGATCATCAGAAGGTCTTTTAGTCAATAGATTGTCTTCCGATCATAGATGATCAGCAGAGGGTCTTCTTCTGCAGGTGCACTTCTGCTCGTAGGAGACCAGCAGACAGACTCTCACTGATTTAACGATTCATCAAGGCCTAGACGAAACGGTTGAATCATAGAAGACCAATAGAATGTTTTCTGGTCATAGAAGACCGATGCATTGAATTCTGATCATACATGACCATCAGAAGGTCTTCTGGTTATGGAAGAAGGTTTTCTGGCCATAAAACACCATCAGAGGGTCTTCTGGTCACAAAAAACCAGTGGATGGTCTTCTGGTCATACAAGATCAGCAGAAGGTATTCTGTTCGTAGAAGACGACCTGCAGACTGATTGACTGACTGACTTACTTAACGATTCATCAACGCCCAGACGACAGACGGTTGAAGCTAGAATCTTGAGATTTTGGGTAAGGGTCACTCTTGGTCCGAAGGGGTTAGAAAAGGCTGGGTATTGTATTTGTGGAAGCAGTAGAGCTAGAAGTTTTCAATTTTTGTAAGAATTTTGTATCGTGTGAAGGAGAAGAGCTAAAAACTTGAAATTTGGACGATTGATAAGCAGTCTCTACAGATAATTGCCAAGGCGTCTTTATAGAAGACTTGCAAGGCTCCATTATGAATTACATAGGGTCGTCGTATTTTGACTTTGGTATGAGAGGACAGCAAGGAAACTTATTTCCCCATATCCCTGCCAATTAGTAGTGTAGAAAATAATGAAATTATTTCCCAAATTTTCTCTTCAATTTCTTCCGAAAAAATGCTGAGCTTAAAATAGATTTTAATCTTAGCTGCAGTTCCGCCAGATTTTATACGTTTATCCAATTTTGTATTTAATATTTTTGGATTTTTTCTTTAACTTCGTTATACAATTAAGTTTGTGTTTGGCTGACCGACCAACCGTCTTCGACCACCACCACCACCAACAACGACCGACAACTACACGACCAGACCAACATAACCATCAGCAATAATTGATTTAAAATGTCAATTTTTGTTATAATCAAATAACAACAACAACAACGACAATAACAACAACTACAAAATCTCTGATATAACGAACATGAACACGGTCTGCCACGGTATCGATAAAGGCCAAAAGCAAGATAAGAGACAAGACAAGTTTATCAAACGACAAGGAAGCACCATAAAGGAGATTGACATCTCGTGAGGGAGTGGTGGGATGGGATGAAGAGGTACTGATGGATAGTGTGCGATTCCTTAAAGGCCATGGTTGTACAATTTTAGTGGAAAATGTTATGGCGTATGTAGGTAATTACATGTGTGAGTGGTAACTGTGGAACACGATGATATGGTCCACTGGGGGCGACTTTTGAGAAAAGGCCAATGTTGAGAAGTAAGTGTCAAAAGCTATTAATAGAAGATATATTTTCAGGCAAAAAAAATGAATGCCTCCTCATAAAATTGCCAAGGAGTCTTGGGTATGTGTGGTAAGGAGTGTCCTTGTTTCAAGCCATTTGATTTTACTGAAGATTGATAATCGGGGACAGATTGTGAGGAATAGTAAGGCATTAATATGGTCACTGGTAAGTAGACTTGTAAGGGGTTTTTTTTCAGAAGACTAGTATGGAGAATGAGTAGAAGACCTATAATCAGCCTTTCAAGACGACTGTCTTTACGTCATGTCAGGTGATTTTATCAATGATTGGTAAGTGATTTAGATGGCAGATTGTAGTTGAATGGTAAGTAGAGAAGTAAGGGCTTCTTCTGAAACACTGTTATGGAAAATATAAGAGCCGCTAAAAATCTCCCTATAAAGGCGACTGTTAACCGGTCGTTAGATACATTCTGTGCTTTAAAGGATACCAGGTAAGATGTCTTCATAGACAGGTAAGTAGAGAAGTAAGGGCTTCTTTTGGAACACTGTTATGGAAAATGTAAGGGCCATTAAAAATCTCCCTTTAAAGGCAACCGGTCGTTAGATACACTCTGTGTTTTGAAGGATAGCAGGTAAGGAGTCTTCATAGATGAATGTTAAGCAACATTTCCATGCGTTTGGTAAGAGGTGTTTGTAGGCACTGGTAAGGTATCCTTTAAGGTGACCAGGAAGGGATCTTTATAGGTCATGGTTAAGGAATCTCTATAGACTTTGGGTAAGGAGTCTCCATAGGGACAGATGAGGAGACTTTTCCGACAACTTGTAAGGAGTCTGCATAAGGGAAGTTTGTTTTGAGGACTGGTAATGAATTCTATAGACAACTGATTTGTATACTTAATTGACGATTGATAAGGAGTTTTTATAACTGACTGGAAAGGAGTATTTATAGACGACTGTTAAAAAGCCAACTGGTAAGGAGTCTTTACAGCCGACTGGAAAGAAGTCGGGAGGAGTAAGACGGCAAGGATTCTATTGTGAAGTCTGGTCAGGAGTCTACAGAAAACTTATCTGTAGTCTATAAAGATGACATGTAAGGAGGTGTTATAGGTAACTCGTAATGAGTGTAGACTATTGGTAGGGAGTTTTTATAGATGACTGGTAACAGATACGACCGGTAAGGAGTATTTACAGACGACTGGTAAGGAGTAGACGGCTGGTAAGTAGTCGTTAAAGGTATCAGGCAAGGAGTCGTTATAGACGACTGACAAGTGGTTTCTGTAGACGACTGGTAAGGAGTGATTATTGGTGGCTGGTTAGGAGTTTCGTAGAGTCTCCGGTAGGGAGTTGGTGCATTTAAGCTGTCTTCATAAACTTCTGGTCAGTATAGACGACTGGTAAGGAGTCTGTATAGATTACTGGTAAGGGGTCTCTATAGACGACTAGTAAGGGGTCTCTATAGACGACCGGTAAGGAGTCGGTACAGACGACTGGTAAGGAGTCGGTATAGACGACTGGTGAGAAGTCGGTACAGAAGACTGGTAAGGAGTCTCTTTCTACTACTGGCAAGGAGTCTTAATACATGATTGGTAAGGGGTCAGTATGGGCGACTGGTAAGGAATCGTTATGGGCAACTAGTAAGGAGTCTTAGTAGACTACTGGTGAGGAGTAGGTATAGACGACTGGTAAGGAGTCTTTATAGACGACTGGTAAGGAGTCTCTATAGACGACTGGTAAGGGGTCTCTATAGACGACTGGTAAGGAGTTTCTATAAACGACTAGTAAGGAGTCTGTATAGACAACTGGTAAGGAGTCGGTATGGACCACTGGTAAGAAGTCGGAATGGACCACTGGTAAGAAGTAGGTATAGTGGACTAGAGTAGTCGGTATAGATGACTGGTCAAGAATCTTTGTAGACGACTGGTATTGGGTCTTTATAGACGACTGTCGGAATAGACGACTGGTAAGTAGTTCGAATAGAAGACTGGTAAGGAGTCTGTAAAGACGACTGGTAAGTAGTCGGTTTAGACGACTGGTAAGGAGTCTGTATAGACGACTGGTAAGGAGTCTGTATGGACGACTGGTAAGAAGTCGGTATGGACGACTGGTAAGAAGTCGGTATGGACGACTGGTAAGAAGTCGGAATGGACGACTGGCAAGAAGACGGTATAGACGGCTGGTAAGGAGTCGGTGTAGAGGACTGGAGGAGTCGGTATAGACGACTGGTCAAGAATCTTTGTAGACGACTGGTAAGGAGTCTTTATAAACGACTTGTAAGGAGTCTTTATAGACGACTGCTAAGGAGTCGGTTTAGACTACTGGCAAGGA